CCCCCCCGCCAGCGTGCCGCAGGCTTCCCGCCCCCCGCCCAGCCGCCTCGCCTGCGCCTCCCCTCCCGGCTCAAGGGCGCTGGGCGACCCGCGGGCTCAGCGGCGCGAAGCGCGCTCTCTGCGCTCGGAGAACCTCCGGGGCGTCGCGCTGGGCCGCGGCTCTCCTCCACGGCGGCCCGCAGAGATCAGCCCGCGGATGGGTCTGGAACCCCCAGGCGGGCAGGACCAACGTGGCCCTTAGGCACAAGGGCCACAGGGCGTAGGGCCCTAGGCAATCTTATTTCCTCCTTAGCTCGGAAGGAATAAAAATGGAGTAGATTTGTGTTCGTGCACAAACAAGAAAGAGGCAAGAAAAGCACACGCTTTGAACACCAGACGGATGATCTTATTCGTAACCTATAGGCATAGCAGGGATGCTAAAATTGAGTAGCCTTGATGGTACACAACAGGTAGCATTACCCGGCAACAAATGATTATTACTACAGTACAAAATAATATGTATCACGTATTATTTACTATTCCCTATTCACATTATTATTACTATTCCCTATTATTTACTATTCTATTTGTATTTTACAGAGAAAATATTGAAAAGCATGAGAAATATAATTGTTAATAAATTTTTTACAGAAGAGACCCACAAAGGCAAGAGCTGTCCTTGAGACCCAGAATGAACTGAAGGCCACATTCAGCTCCAAAATCAGTTCTTCTCACATGTGGCTGTTGCCACGCTTCTAAGAATATCTTGCTACTCCCAAATATGATTTTCAGATGACTAAAAACTCAGAAGAAGATCTCGGTAAGCTTGGACCTGGGCTGCTTAAATCTTGCTAAATTCTTGTGACAACTCATGGAAATGTTTGCAGAGTTTTGGCCAATCTGGATACCAGATCTGGAAACAAAAAGAGGAGCTGCAACAGGTGTGAGTCAAAACTGGGCAAACTGCAAAAGAATTAAATTAAAATAAAATAATAGAATAAAAGACAAGAGAAATGGAGAAGATGATCATGTTCTACCGAAGTGTCTAGAAGGAGATCACCTTGGCTTGATCTACAGTTTTACCTGCAGAAACCTTTGCAAAATTATGAAATCCTACAATCGGGGGAAGGGATTTTAGAGACCATCTAGTCTCTCCTCCCAGGGTCAATTGCTCATGACAAAGCACACATTTTGAATGCAAAAAGGGCTCAAAGCCATCCCAGCAGCTCCAGTTGTGTTTGGGAGAGAGTTTTGTCAGAAGTCCCAAAGATCTTTGAACATCAGGAGAAATGGTTTAACCATGGAAGAGATGCAAAGTTCTCTCTGGCTTTGTCCACGGCTTTTCTCCAAAGGTTTCGCTCATGGCTTGTAGGAGAGACTTGGAAGGAGCAACAGAAGACCCTGGTTCAGCCTCTGGCTGCAAAAGATTCCTTGAATCCTTGGAGATCTGTTGCTCCCAACCTCTGGCTACGTTTGCACCATCTTCATCTGGTTCCTGAACACATCTGTTTTCGCACAGTACTGTGAACTATAAACTCATCAAACAGACTGGCTTTGCACAAGACACAACCACAAACAAACACTGACAAACCCAACAAAAGTAAACTGAAGTAAACAGTGCAACTTCCAGGAATTCAACAGATTTGTTTGTTTATTTACTTATTTATTTTAGAAGCTGCCTGACTCCAAATGACTCTGGGTGGTTTACTTTAAAAGCAAGAACAATAACAATTTTGAAACAGATCATAGAGATTCAAAAAAGGACTGAAACCAAACAAAACGGGGGGAAAAAAACCCCACAACTGCATTGCTGTTGTGTGAACACTGTTCTGGACTAGGGAGACAAGTGGTCTGATTCTGGATTTTTATTTATTCATTCATTTACAGTATTTGGGTGCTGTCCTAGTCATGGAATCTGAACAGCTCCTGACAATAAAAAAACACATTAAAACTCATAAAACATAAAGACATAAAAAAGAGGCTATGATGCAAATGTGCAGCAAAATATAACCACAGCCTTTGGTACCTGAACCTTCCTGTCAATGTCTGGATGGAAAAGGAGAATCTTTGCTTGTTTGCTTAAATGTGGTAAAAGGGGGAGCCCTCAGAGCAGGGCAGCCGCGGAGGAGGCCGACTCTGCATTCACGTCAGGCACAAATTTGGGGCCACATCATCTCAAGCCCTTAGCGGTCATTTACACGCAAAAGGCAAGATTCTGACTGAGTCTTCTTTAACCAGATTTATTGAAAGGGAAAAAGGATTAGGTCACGGAAATCTTTGCAACTGGATGCATTTATTTTGTGAATTACCCAGTATTGTTTGGAATTTGGGTGGTGTACAGATGGAATAAATAATAACAATATTTTAGCACCCTATTTATCTTGACTTTTGTTAGGGTAAAAATGTCTTGGACCTTTAGCTAATCACTGATGCACTGGGGAGATGGCTATCCCTTTTCCAGATCGAGGACAAACGTGCAGATGGTGCTTACCTGTAATATTTGGGAGACCATCATCCTCTCACCCAGGTTGTGAGAAGCCCATCACAGCTGGGCAAAGAAACTAAAGGATGATTTTTCTGAATGCCTCCAGGGAGAGCAGAAATCCTCCAACAAATTCTTAAAGGTGAGATGATTCGTTCACAATGGCTGGAACTAAGTAAAAACTTCTCAGAATATAGGTAGCCCTTGACTTACAACCACAACTGGGACTGGAGTTTCTGTCACTAAGCGATGCAGTCGTTAAGTGAGTTGTGCCCAATTTTATGACCTTTTTTGCAGTGTTTGTTAAGTGAATCTGGCTTTCCCCATTGACTTTGCTTGTTGGAAGCCCCCTGGAAAGTCGCAAATGGTGATCACATGACCACAGGATGCTGCACGGGTCATAAATACATGCCGGTTGCCAAGCACCTGAATTTTGATCATGTGACTGTGGGGACGCTGTGATGGTCATAAGTGCGAGGACCAGCTGTAAGTCACTTTTTTTCAGCACCGTTGTAACTTCAAACAGTTGTTAAATGAATGGTTGTAAGTCGAAGATTACCTGTAGTTGATTTGGAGTGTCTTCCCGAAGGGTTTCACAAAAACAGGAGAAGCTGCTGGGTGGTGGGAGGGCTGCAGAATGCTGGAAAAAGGATTTAGAATCATAGAACTTCAGAATTGTGGAGGTGGAAGTGATCCCAAGGATCATCTAGTCCAACCCTCTGCAATGTGCAGGAAAATCAAATAAACCATCATGAGAGCTTGCTTTCCAGCCTCTTCTTCAAAACCTCCAGAGATGGAGAACCTACAACCTTTGTAGGTCAACTGCTCCACTATTGGACAGATCTTGCCCTCAAGACATTTTTCCATACAGCGTAATGGAAGAGCGTTCACAAGGCCAAACACAGGCAAGAACACTGAAGGGCCCTGGTGGAAGCCACCTTGCTGTGCAAGGCATAATGTACACCCATTAACTCATATGTGATGGCATTCGGCCATCCTGTGTGCCTTTGCAGACGCCTATGGAGAAGACCACACCCTACCCTGGGGAAGCTCTCTGAAATCCTCTTCTCCTCTGAGAGATGTTTTCAAAGCAAACTGTCTTTCAACAAGTTGAGCAACAGGTGGTAGAAAAAAATGCTGGAGAATTTTATTGCCTCACATGAAGCCATGCACACCTTGGGCCTTAATTGCAGGATGTTCCCGTTGGGCTGAGTGTCCAGGATGGGAATGTGGTAGAGGCTTCCTTCACTCGGAAACCGGTTGGACCGGGCCGGCTGCATTTCCCCATATCTGCTCACCTTTGGAAGAATGGTTTTGGGAACACTGTCTCAAGGAACGCTCTGCAGCACAGTTGCCTTGTTTGTGCAAGGTGCAAGTGGGTGGCTTAGTCGTGAACTGCATCATGGTTTGCTGAGTGAATGATTTAACCCTAATCCCCTAAACCATCATCTAACAGACAGCCTGAGTTCATGCAACACACTAAGCCAGTGTTTCTCAACCTTGACAACTTTAAGATGTGTGGACTTCAACTCCCAGGATTCTGGGAGTTAAAGTTCACACATCTTAAAGATGCCAGATTTGAGAAACACTGCGCCAAGCCTTTAAAAAAATAGAAAGCTTTCTGCAGAACTTGAATTCCTGCACCATTCAGTCCAATTTCATTGTTGTTAAAAGTGTAATTTTCCACCACCACTCTCATTTTTTTTAAATTGCCTCTTCAGGCAGAAGTATAAAAACAAGTTACAACACTGAGACACACTCTTAAAAAAGAAAAGGTACATTTATTGAAAACAGTTAATACTTTGTACAGTTTTTCTCACAGAATAGCGTCCCCCTCCCCAGTGAAGTTTAGCCTATGGGCACAGATGCCCCCAAGTTAAATTGAACGATGTGGCAAAACGGTTCACCCGCGAGGGAGGCATCGCAGTCGAGAGAGAAGCCACGTGGATCCTGTGCAGGTTTACTCAGCAGTGCCCTAAGGTTGGCGAGGCCTACTCCTGAGTAAGTAAGTGTTTGCAGCTTTGCAGACTTAACCACAACCACACAGTGGGGTTCGTGGCAGAGTGAAAAATAGGCACCCGCCTCGGAGTGGACGTGGGGTGTCCCCCTCGGCGCAAATTTTTCACAGCCCGTTTCTGTGGCAAGAGAGGTGTGGAATGACCCCTTGTTTACCGCAAGGGGACCTTGTGAGACGGAAAATGGGCTTTCTTCCTTCTGCTTTGACCCCTGGAGGTTTTTCAAAGATTTCTTCCATCCCTGTCTTCTCCAGGTCGGCTTGCACTCCAGATGTTCTGCACTGTGAGGCTGCAATCCAACACATCTGGAGGCCCCCAAGCTGGGGAGGCTCTTGTATATTCAAGACTTTGATAACAGAGTAACAAAATGGCCTGGGTTTTTGCATGCGTGTGTGTGTGTGTGTATGGGGGGTAATCTCTGTGTATAACGCATATTAGGTGTCATGCGGTCTATCTCTTTCCAGCCAGCTGCAGAGAAGCAGTGGTTAATGAGTCTGCAGACCAGTGGGATCAAATTTCCCCACCATATTGGGCTCTCCAAGCCATGCTGTGCTAGAAACCCTTTCCACAGATTTTGGGGCTGGGGCTGCAGCAGCTGGTCAAATTGGGGGGGGGCTAGGAAATCAGGGGTGCTGCTGGCCATGCTTCTTCCCAATTGTTGACTCCCCCCCCCCAGCTATTCCCACCCTTATCAACATATTAGGGCTCCTGATGGCCTTCAGGGGATCGGGCATTCGGCTGCAGAGAGACAAACCCTGCTAGGGGATGCCCACAGTCGCTTGCACATGATGCATGTGGCAACCGTTGTGGCAAAGTGCTGGTGAACGGACCGGGCTGCTTTGTCCCTGGATGGGACGCGGTGCGTGGGCATGCACATCTGTGCGCTACACTGCTTCTCGGTGAGGTGTTCCGAGCGCTCCTCATCCAAACTACATTTTGCACCGATTCTCTCTTTTCCTCCTTAACCAAACTGCTGTGAGAAAGAACGAGAAATAAAGGAAGTGGGTGGGTGGGGGGAACACAGGCCCAGGGCTACTAAAAAAGGCCACGGGGACTCTCTGGAGCCCCTGCCAAGTTTGGCACAGAAGCCCAGCCAAAAATACCTTGCGCTCTCTTGGCCTTAGGCACCAAAGTGTCCTGGGCAGCCTGAACAGCGAGGGTTGTGCTTAACGGTGTGTTTAACAAGGGGCTTTGCACACTCCCTCCCACGCCGATGGGGGTCATGGCACTGGAATCTAGGTAGCCCTGGGCTCTGTTCCTCAAATTTGGAGTCTGTGGGGAAGGAGGGAAACTCCAGCACATTCACGCTTGGGACAGGGCTCTTCGAGCAGACCTTCCTCCAGGATGCTGGCGCCTCCTTTGACGTGTGCGGGTCTCCTGCTGCCTTGAGAGACACCGACCAGAAGGGTGCAAAGGGCGAGGAGCAGAATTGTTCAAAGGCGTTACGAGAATGAAGAGGGGGAAGCCACGGGAGCAGAAGGGAATGGCCATCGTGTCTTGCCTCCCCCCCGAGGGGTTCCCTACGTCTGCGTGCCTGATTTCAGGGTGGATCCTTTCCTCGGCTTTCCCATCAGGCAGGACCGGCAACCTGGCCAGGCACAGAAAGGGATACAGGGATACAAAGAGGCAGAGTTCGCCGATGGGAGGGTGGGCAAGGGCGGTGCGCCAAAGCAGGGTCGCTCTGCTCGACGCAGGACAGGAGTAAAGCAGCGTCCGTGGGGTCATCCGATGCCAGCGCCTGAGGTCTTCCTGCCCTGGGGTTGTATTATACGTAATCCTTCCCGGTGGAGATGGCACACGTGGGGTATGGCCGAGTCGGGGGGTAGGAGGTCTCTCGCCGGGGGCACCAGCAGCAGAGGAAGACGCTGCCCAGCATGGTCAGGGCGGAGGCAGCCCAGCCGATGAAGAGCGCCTGGCCAAATTCAAACCTGGGGAGAGAGGAGATCAGGAAGGATGGATCCCAGGCGCCGATCCGCACATGAACTAGTCCAGACCCCCGGCTGCTTCAGCGGGTGCTATTCCAATGCCTGACGAGAGCCAAATGAGCTTTTAACGAGGGTGGGGGGTTCATTTCCCCCTCCTCTGGCGAGGGATCACTGCTTTTCCTAGATTCTAGCAGGGTGAATCTGGCTTGACTGATGCCCAGCTTACCTTGAAGATTTAATTGAAAACGAGGAGCAGCCTCCCTGGCCCAGCACTTAGGTCTTTCCTCTGGGAACAGCCCTCCCCGGTTCTGCAGCTCCAGTTCCCCGCCTTGCGCGGAACTTGCCCTTTCCCTGCTTAATGCCCTTTTGGTGCTTCCCAGGTCCCACACAGCCACATAACCCATGGGTCTCAGCACACACTCTTTGGCCTGCTTCCTGGAAGTGGCCGGGATTAAACTGGAAGGCCAAAGGAGATCCTGAAGCAAGTGTGCAATTATATAAAGATTCCTGTTGGCACGGTGCTTCATCAGTGCGCACATATGCTCTGGTGAACATTGCTAAGCTGCGAAAGGGTGGCGGAGAGGATGGAGCCTAACAATGCGCCAGATTGCTCATATGCCTACTCGAAAATTAATTTTAGAATTTCGCTAGCAAATGGCAGCAGCACAGATTGGAGCGGAGGGCCTATGCAGGCGACAAGTAGAAAACACCGACTTTTTGCCAGTTACACTCAGGAAAACCTCTTGGAGAATTGTTCTCCAAAGATAGAGAGAGAGAGAGAGAGAGAGAGAGAGAGAGAGAGAGAGAGAGAGAGAGAGAGA